TGATGCTAATGCTGATGCTGATGCTGATGCGCTGATGCTGATGCTGATGCTGATGCGCTGATGCTGATGCGCTGAATCTGATGCGTTGATGCTGATGCTGATGCTGATGCGCTGATGCTGATGCTGATGCGCTGATGCTGATGCTGATGCTGATGCGCTGATGCTGATGCTGATGCTGATGATGCTGATGCTGATGCTAATGCTGATGCTGATGCTGATGCGCTGATGCTGATGCTGATGCTGATGCGCTGATGCTGATGCGCTGATGCTGATGCGCTGATGCTGATGCTGATGCTGATGCGCTGATGCTGATGCTGATGCGCTGATGCTGATGCTGATGCTGTAGCGCTGTAGCGCTGATGCTGATGTTGATGTTGATGTTGATGCTGATGCTGATGCTGATGCTGATGCTGATGCGCTGATGCTGATGCTGATGCTGATGCGCTGATGCTGATGCTGATGCTGATGATGCTGATGCTGATGCCGATGCTGATGCTGATGCGCTGATGCTGATGCTGATGCGCTGATGCTGATGCGCTGATGCTGATGCTGATGCTGATGCGCTGATGCTGATGCTGATGCTGATGCGCTGATGCTGATGCTGATGCTGATGATGCTGATGCTGATGCTAATGCTGATGCTGATGCTGATGCGCTGATGCTGATGCTGATGCTGATGCGCTGATGCTGATGCGCTGATGCTGATGCGCTGATGCTGATGCTGATGCTGATGCGCTGATGCTGATGCTGATGCGCTGATGCTGATGCTGATGCTGATGCGCTGATGCTGATGCTGATGCTGATGATGCTGATGCTGATGCTAATGCTGATGCTGATGCTGATGCGCTGATGCTGATGCTGATGCTGATGCGCTGATGCTGATGCGCTGATGCTGATGCGCTGATGCTGATGCTGATGCTGATGCGCTGATGCTGATGCTGATGCGCTGATGCTGATGCTGATGCTGTAGCGCTGTAGCGCTGATGCTGATGTTGATGTTGATGTTGATGCCCGATGTTGATGTTGATGCTGATGCTGATGCTGATGCGCTGATTCTGATGTGCGGGGAGAGGGGGAATGGGGAAATGGGAAATGGGGGAAAAGAGGAGGGGGGCGGTGAGAGGTGGAGGCAGAGGGGATGGAGCGCGACGGGGACAGAGAGACAGAGAGACAGAGAGACAGACAGAGCAGCCAGCAGCAATGAACAGAAGCAAAGGAGAGACCGGACCAAGTGAAATGGAGGAGTGGAAGATAGAACAGGTGGGATCACATGGTGGAGCGAAAAAGAGTGCGGGTGCATACCATACCACGATCACATGTAAAGGATGCATACCATACCACGATGAGGTCACGGGTGTGGGTGCTGAGGACTGGTGTTTACTGGCGTTGACTGAGGCTGACTGATGTTGACTGATGTTGAATGGAGCCGTGCTGCTGCATCCACTGCTCTGCTGCTCAACCGCCGGCACTCCATTCGCCCTGAGACCAGAGGACGCATGGGGGAGTAGGAGATGCAAGGAGATTGGACTCGAACAGAGAGGGCAGGCAACCAACTCGGAATAAATGAAGCAGCAAGCATAACGTGGATGCGCATGTGTATTACAGCGAGAACCGAGTGGTGAGAGGGGGAACGGGGAAGGCGCATGGCGACAGTGGCCCACGGCACTAGAGCAGCGAGCTGAGCCAGCGAGGGGGGACTGGGGGACGCACGCATGGCATGAATGCACTCCCTCTCCACTACTCTATCCCACCACTCCCACTACACTGCACTCTACATGAGCTCTGCTGCCATAGCACCACGGACCACCACCACCATGCGCCAAGGGACGAATGTGCCTTGAGATTTTCCAAAAATGAAAGAGACGGATGGGGAGCGATGGAGGATGGGGGGGGCGGAGAGGAAACTTAAGCTAAGGAGAAGCTTGGAGGCTGAAAGTGACTCGTCCCATTCATGCCATGCGCGCGCTCCTCTCTACCCCAGTCCCCATGTAGCTGCAGCTGGTGAGTTGTAGCTGCAGCTGGTGAGCTGTAATATCATGCCATGCCATGTACCACAGCAAGACAGACACAGTGAGTGCAGCTCAAAGGCACAGCAGACAGAACGCAGCAGACAGACCAGGCAGCAGCAGCAACAGACAGAGCAAAGAACCAAGAGAGGGTGAGTGCAGTGAAACGGAGGAGCAAAGGGGAAAGCGGGTGGGGAGCAGTCAAAACGGAGGGGCGAATGCGAGAGTGGCTGCAGTGAAATGGATGCATCTCGTACCACAATGGCATGGCACAGGCGTAAGCTTTGGGGACTTGTGTTGACTGCCATGCTGCTGCAGCCACCGCTGTGAGTGCCTGGCTTGCATCATCCCACTGCCGCCCCTCCATGCGCCTCCTCCCTCCACCGCCTCTCCTTGGAACAGCAAGGCCGGTGCAGCATATAGAGGCACCACGCCCCTGCCACACAGGGAGCCACACACAGTGAGTGCAAGCACGAGGAGCGCTGTTGACCGGTGTTAGCATGCTGACTGCCGTGCTGCTGTTCCGCCACAGCTCTGCTGTTCCGCCACAGCTCTGCTGTTCCGCCACAGCTCTGCTGTTCCGCCACAGCTCTGCTGTTCCGCCACAGCTCTGCTGTTCCGCCACAGCTCTGCTGTTCCGCCACAGCTCTGCTGTTCCGCCACAGCTCTGCTGTTCCGCCACAGCTCTGCTGTTCCGCCACAGCTCTGCTGTTCCGCCACAGCTCTGCTGTTCCGCCACAGTTCTGCTGTTCCGCCACAGTTCTGCTGTTCCGCTACAGCTCTGCTGTTCCGCCACAGCTCTGCTGTTCCGCCACAGCTCTGCTGTTCCGCTACAGCTCTGCTGTTTCGCCACAGTTCTGCTGTTCCGCCACAGTTCTGCTGTTCCGCTACAGCTCTGCTGTTCCGCCACAAAGCCAGACGGGGTGAAGGATGGTGGAATTGTAGGAGCAGTGGCGCGGGAGGGTGTGGTGGCAGCCGCAGCAGCACTTACAGCTTGCCTGCTACCGGCTGCTGTCTGTCTGTCACCTGGGGAGGTGGATAAGGCGGGCGCAAGGCGCTGCTCCTCCCATCGTGATCCTCCCAGCAGCAGAGGACTCCCATCGGCAGCACTCCCAGCAGCAGCTCGTATGGCGTGTAGAGTGGAGGAGGCACTGGAGGAAGGGCGGCAGAAGGGACAGGAGGAGGCAGGCTGTGCGTCCCACTGTCTGAGAACGATACAGAAGAAGAGCTAACAAGCTGAACAACACGAAAGGCAATGGTAGCACAAGGCACTAGGGCAGCGAGCTAGCATGCGAGGGTGGACTGGGGTAAGAGAGAGACAAGAGCATGTGTATGAGTGCATTCTATTCTAGCCCCCTACAACTCTAGTGTGAGCTCAAGCCGCCCCGGTGCCATGTGCTACCATCACCATGCAGAATTTGACGTTTGATTTCGAGCATGCGCCGAGAAAGCAAAGCGACAAGAAAATGAACCAAAGACAGAAAGCGATAAGGATGGCAAGGGGGTGAGTAGAGGGGTTAAGAGGGGACTTAGCAGCGGTACGACGGGTTGAGCGACGGAAGCAGCAGCAGTTGTTGCCAGCAGCAGAGTGACTCCCATCATCAACGGCACTCCCAGCAGCAGCCCTCCCAGCAGCAGCAGCAGCAGCAGCAGCAGCAGCAGCAGCAGCAGCAGCAGCGCCAGTCGAGCTCGTTTGGCGCGTGAGGGAGTGGCGAGGTCAGCAGGGCATGCAGGATGCATGCCGTGCGTCATCCCACTGCCCTCCCTCCTCTTTGACCCTGGGACAAAGAAATGGGCTTGGGAGAGAAGGCAGAGGGGAAGGAGATTAAGAATCTGGTCCAGTAGGAGCAAGCATTGGAATGAAGGCAGAAACAAGTATGAAAACGAGAATTCCTTCAGCAAAAAATGCAGAAGAAAAGCAAGCGAGCTAAACAACACGAAAGGCAATGGTAGCACAAGGCACTAGGGCAGCGAGCTAGCATGCGAGGGTGGACTGGGGTAAGAGAGAGACGCGAGCATGTGTATGAGTGCATTCTATTCTAGCCCCCTACAACTCTAGTGTGAGCTCAAGCCGCACCGCAAAGATGTGGCACATGCGATGACATGGGACACATGGAGGGGTGAACAGCACACATACCGTAGCAAAGGCCTTCCCATTTGGCTTGATTAGCTCAGCTCGCGTCATTCCACGAGCAGCCTTGGAGAAATAGACACGTGCTGCCGGACGACCAGCCACCACCCCCCCTAGAACTATCTCATCCCCCTGATCCACACCATCGCCCACCTCCTCCTCCTCCTCCCCCTCCCCATCCCCCGCCTCCCCTCCTCCCCCCCTTCAGCATAACCCTCCTCCCCCTTTGCCTCAACCCCTTCCTCCTGCCCCTCCTCATACCCTTCAGCTTCTGCCTCCCCTTCCTCCCCTGCCTCCCCTTCCTCCCCTTCTTCCCCTCCTTCCCCTCCCTCCTCATAGTCATTCTTCTTAGCCTTCTTCTTTTTCTTCCTCCCCTTCTTGCTCCTTGTGTTCCGTCCCCTCTGCTTATTTGGCCCCAAGATCCAGTCACTGCTGCTCACTGCTGCCCCCGCAGCTCCTAAAGAAAGAAAGGTAATGAGAGTAGCATTCAGCAAGGGATTCATACAGGCGCATTCTTTAGTCGACTCAAAAGTCATTCGCTGCTGCTCACTGCAGCCCGCGACTAAAGAAAGGGAGGGATCGATAGAAACATTGTAACGAGAGGTGAGAGGTTCAGAAACTGCAGACAGCCCGCATTTCAGAAATTTTGGGAAATATCGTACCTGGCTGGGCTGCAACGAGGAAGAAGGTGGAATATCCCAACGGGGGCACCTCAGCGCGGAACACCACTGACACCACCCCTGCTGCTGCTCCAGTGGAGGCACGGTGGCGCCCGCATGTGCTGCTGCGTAGAAAGCACGGATGACTGGGCGAGGGAGGAGGTCTGGGATGACCTGTGATGGGATGGGCTGGTGGGCTGAGTCTGTGACAATGACTGAGGGAGCAGAGACCTGGTGCCAGGGGGTGATGGGGGGGTTGGAAGTCGGGGGGTGGGGGAAAGAGCGGGGAGGAAGAGGGAGGGGGGGTGGGGGTGGGAATGGGGAAAAAGAGGGAGGAGCGGTGGGGATGGGAAGCAAGAAGAGAGAGGGGAGGGGGCACGTGTGGGTGAGAGTGGAAAGCGCAGATGACTGGGCGAGGGAGGAGCTCTGGGATGAGCTGTGATGGGATGGGCTGGTGAGTCGAGTCTGTGACAATGACTGAGGGAGTGGTGACCTGATGGGAGGCGTGATGAGGAGGGAGGGGGAACGAGGGAGGAGGGCGGAGAGATAGGGGGAAAAGTAAGATGCGGGGATGCGGGGATGCAGGGATTCGGGGATGTGGGAACGCAGCGACAGAATGAAAATGTATGACAGTTGAAGATGAACAGACAATTGGCACTGTAAAGGATAATGGAGCTCACTTTGATGCATTTGGTTTCTAGAGAGTGGTGTGAGCACAGGCAAGAGCCCACGGCTTGAATACCACGTGATGAAACTCGAAAGAATGCAGGAGTAGTGGAGCTTACTGGAATGCGGACGATTTCGGTGCGAGCCCAGGCAAGGGGGTTGAAGGCGACCACCACCTGATAGACGCGAGAGATGCAGTGGATGAGATGGGATGGGATGGGATGGGATGGGATGGGATGGGATGGGATGGGATGGGATGGGATGGGATGGGATGGGATGGGATGGGATGGGATGGGATGGGATGGGATGGGATGGGATGGGATGGCATGGCATGGCACGGCCACACGGGATGGCAGTGTGCTGTCAAGTGACTGGAACATCAGCTGCTGACGCACAGCTCAAGTGTATCTGTGCTTCTCTACAGTCACAATCGTTTGAAAGCACAACTCACCACAGGCACAACGCAGCAGACGAGGAGTTGGACTCACCAGGGGGTCAACTTAACTCCAGAAAGTGGTCCACTCACCAGGGTCTTGCCGGGTTCAAGACCAGACTGCGATGGAGGGCAGAAGGAGATGTTCAGCAGAGGGCACTGCAGGGAGAAAGGAGAAGAGGGGGGGAGAAGGAGGGGGAGAGAAGGAGGAGGTTGAGAAAAAAAGGGATGATACGCTGAGACGCGGACAGACAGTGCAGAACTACAGCTGAATCATAACATCAAAGAGCCCCCTACAACTCTAGTGCCCCGGTGCCATGTGCTACCATCGCCACGTGATTTGACGTTTTGATTTCGAGCATGCGCCAAGAAAGCAAAGCGACAAGAAAATGAACCAAAGACAGAAAGCGATAAGGATGGCAAGAGAGTGAGTAGAGGGGTTAAGAGGGGACTTAGCAGCGGTACGACGGGTTGAGCGACGGAAGCAGCAGCAGTTGTTGCCAGCAGCAGAGTGACTCCCATCATCAACGGCACTCCCAGCAGCAGCCCTCCCAGCAGCAGTGCCAGTCGAGCTCGTTTGGCGCGTGAGGGAGTGGCGAGGTCAGCAGGGCATGCAGGATGCACGCCGTGCGTCATCCCACTGCCCTCCCTCCGTTTTGACCCTGGGACAAAGAAATGTGCTTGGGAGAGAAGGCAGAGGGGAAGGAGATTAAGAATCTGGTCCAGTAGGAGCAAGCATTGGAATGAAGGCAGAAACAAGTATGAAAATTCCATCAGCGAAAAATGCAGACGAAGAACTAACAAGCTGAACACACGAAACGCAATGGTAGCACAAGGCACTAAGGCAGCGAGCTAGCATGCGAGGGTGGACTGGGGTAAGAGAGAGACGCGAGCATGTGTATGAGTGCATTCTATTCTAGCCCCCTACAACTCTAGTGTGAGCTCAAGCCGCCCCGGTGCCATGTGCTACCATCGCCACGCGGATTTTGACGGTTTGATTTCGAGCACGCCCCAAGAAAGCAAAGCGACAAGAAAATGAACCAAAGACAGAAAGCAATACGAGGGGTGAGTAAGGAGAGCAAAGGGGGGCAGGAAGGGACTTAGCTGCACATGATGAATCGCCTCTGCCTCCGCCTCCGCCTTGGCTTTCATCGTCAGTGCCGTCGGCGACCGTCGGTGACGGTCGTCCCTCCGATCTCCTCTGCCACCTCCACTCCACTAGCCCCGTCAGAACTCGCCACCTTCGAAACCCTCCTTCGCATTCGCCTCCGCCTCCGCCTCCGCCTCCGCCTCCGCCTCCGCCTCCAGCTTCTGCGCTCATCATGTTCCACCAATCGCCTCGGCCTTCGCCTTCCCGCCAACAAGCGCCGTCGTCAGCGTCAGCGTCAGCGTCCCCGTAAGAACTCGCCATCAACTTCGCTTTTCCGCTTCTCTGATTCTCTGCTTCTCTGCTCGAACGCTTGCCTTCGCCTTCGTTACGTACGAACACCTCGTCACGATCGCCATCGTCATCGCGATGATTGTAAGAACTCCATTAACTTTCTCCGCTTCTCTGCTCGAGAGCTCAACTTCGCCTTCGCCTTCACTGCCTCGATCGTCAACCGTAAAACGTTGAAGAACTTCATCAGAAAGCGCCGTCTCAATCTCGATCACAAACGTAAGATAAGAAATCTCGCCGTCTCAACCTCGATCATCGATGAGTCATCTCCACAACTCGCCGTCCCAACCATCAGAAGACGCCAATCCTCTCCGTCAGAACGTCGTCACCGTCAAAACTCAGTGTTGATCGTCAACTCCAATAACGCCCATTCGTCAACATTCGGAAACGTCAATCGTCGGTCAGAAGATCTTCACTGGCAGAAGATCGTCAAAGGTCCCACTTTTCACCATCAGAAGACGTCGATCATCGCAAATTTCGCCGTCAGAAATCGCCGTCTCGATCGTCGCCGTCAGCACTCCTCGTTTCAATCTTCGCCGTCAAAAATCGCCGTCTCGTTCCGTCAGTACTCCTCGTTTCGAATTTCACCGTCAAATTTCGCCGATTGTCATCATCAGCTTTCCTTGTCTAGATAATCGTTAACAAGAATCGCCGTCTCGATCACCCCTTACAAAGAAACCGTCCCGATCGTCATACTCAGGAAACAAAAATCCACTCCTAAACGCAGAAATCGTTATCGCTGTTTACGTGTAATCTAGACGGCGTTTTTGTCTCAGTCTGAAACACGACGTGCACGTGAACGGCGTTACGAACGTCGCCAAGCCTTAGGAACCGTCTCCGACTACCGTCAGCGGTAAGTTGTTACTGGTATTTGACAAAGAGGCCGAATCAAAACCACGGTAAACTATCAGCATGAAACGGCCTGATCAGGGTTGGACGAGGAAAGTTTGCTGGTGCTATAATCGAGCTGTTCTTGATGTCTAATAGCATAGCCAGAAAAGTATACAGACTATGATTGCGCTTGCGATACAGCTATCGGTCTGTGATGGTAGGGGAAGACGACAGCCATAGATTGCTAACGAAGTGAGCCGAGCCGAAGAATCCCGCATCAGAGACCGTGAAACTCGAACAGAGGTACTCCGAACATGGATAGGAGCACAAATTACTAAGAATCAAACCGCGACTAAGCTTAGGGCCTAACTATTGTTTGGTAAGCATGGAACTTCAGGCGACAGCCATGGATTACAGGGAACCGAACAAGCTAACGCCTTGGAGTCTCAGAGAGCTCGAAAGTGAAAATCAGGAGAATCACTAAGCGGCGTTGGTGTAAGAGAGGGGTTCAGTAGAGCAATGCCGGTATTACAGGGAGATCCAGAGTGGTGATGGGAAATCTACATGGAGGCGGGAGAGAGGCGACAGAAGCCGAGGGCACTTGCCGCCGCCAGTTTCGGCACACAGCCTCAGCGAGTTTCGTGAACCGAACCAGTTCGCCTTTTGCTTGGTTCGCGAGAACTGCGAGATTTAGCACGAAACATCCGCAGCGCGGGAGCAGCTCGAAGGCGTTGTTCTGCAGGCGTTTTTTCCCCAGAAACCGGACGCACAGAATCTTCGTTGATAAGGCCTTCCCTCCTTATCCAGGTTTGGTGATAAGGAAGTTCTTGCTGAACCTGCTTGCGCCAATTTTGACGCCTCCGCCTGCAGAACACCACTTTTGGGGCGCGAAGGTTTGACCTTCAGCTGGTTCGAGGATGTTGCTTCAACGGGCAAAATGTCGCACCGTTTGTGCGCTGCTAATTCTACCTCGAGAGCTAGCATCAGCCTCCGCACTAGTCATGCGGGGCAGTACCAGCCTCGGAAATGTGAACATTCGCCAAAATGCGAAGGTGCGGCTGGGATGGTGCTGGACTTCTACGCAACATCCGCGCAGCCACAGCAGATTTGATGCACCGTGAAACCACGCGGAAGGCAGTGCCCGCACAAATAATGCGGAACCGATAACGCCTGCAGAACGACGCCCAACAGTTTGCGCGGGAAACAGCCCATGTCCCTGACAAACACTCATGTGAAGCCTCCCCCGCTGATTGAGCACAAGTTTCAGGGGTTATAATGTGCATAACATGATTGATGGGAAACTGTAGATATGAGAGTAAACTTCTGTAAATATTAGAACTACCAATATTTATGATTGTTAGGAAACTCAACCTACCCTGTCAGCATGCACTACCTTAATCACCCAGGAAAGTTTGTCACCTTTATACATCGTAAGCGATAACATTGTAAAAAACTCAGATATTTTAGTGGTGAAAGAAAATGCTCAATAGACCCTAGCTCTTTTTACGACTGCTTGAGACACGTGAGAGCTCTAATCCCTACCCAGCATACTCGTGCCTTCTACTTAATGCTTTTCATGACGCTGCTGCTCATAGGTACTTTCCAAACCTCCCAGCCAATCCCTTTCCGACAATAGCAGCTCCACAGCAATACCGCCAGCACCACAAGCAGCAACGCCAGTCACCCCACTGAAAGCAGCACCTGTACTACAGAAGGTGGGTGGCAGAGCAGCTACCGTCCCAACCACACAGTCGACTGTCCACCCAGCTGCTTCTCCATAAATCTCCCGCATTTTCTATTCGACCGCTCTCCTCCCCTGCGATTTGTGTGCTTCATCATTGGCGCTTTCTCAAACTTGCTCATTCCATCATCCGCCTGCTCGCCCCTGCATCTCTCCACCACCCTCACAACAACCTCCCACCTGACCATCCAACCCCCTCTGCCTCTTACCTCCACCACCCAGTCTCCACCAGTTCCCACCACCTCCCACCTGACCATCCCACTCCCCCACGCATCCACCTTAGCAGACCCACCACCATAGACTTTCAACAGGTGGCATCAGTGCCATATGGCTCATCATATGCCACCAACCAAGCGTGAGCATCATGGTCACCCACCTGAGGGGACTCAGCCCCTTTCACTTGCACTCACCCACCCAAGGGGACTCAGCCCCTTTCACTTGCACTCACCCACCCAAGGGGACTCAGCCCCTTTCACTTGCACTCACCCACCCAAGGGGACTCAGCCCCTTTCACTTGCACTCACCCACCCAAGGGGACTCAGCCCCTTTCACTTGCACTCACCCACCCAAGGGGACTCAGCCCCTTTTACTTGAACTCACCCATCCAAGGGGACTCAGCCCCTTGCACTTGCACTCACCCACCCAAGGGGACTCAGCCCCTTTCACTTGCACTCACCCACCCAAGGGGACTCAGCCCCTTTCACTTGCACTCACCCACCCAAGGGGACTCAGCCCCTTTCACTTGCACTCACCCACCCAAGGGGACTCAGCCCCTTTCACTTGCACTCACCCACCCAAGGGGACTCAGCCCCTTTTACTTGAACTCACCCATCCAAGGGGACTCAGCCCCTTGCACTTGCACTCACCCACCCAAGGGGACTCAGCCCCTTTCACTTGCACTCACCCACCCAAGGGGACTCAGCCCCTTTCACTTGCACTCACCCACCCAAGGGGACTCAGCCCCTTTCACTTGCACTCACCCACCCAAGGGGACTCAGCCCCTTTCACTTGCACTCACCCACCCAAGGGGACTCAGCCCCTTTCACTTGCTCTCACCCACCCAAGGGGACTCAGCCCCTTTCACTTGCTCTCACCCACCCAAGGGGACTCAACCCCTCTCACTTGCCATCACCCAACCAAGGGGAATCAGCCCCTTTCACCCACTCACGAGCATCACGCTTCCATGCACAGGTGGCATCAGAGCAACTCATCATGTGCCACCAACCAGCCAAGCATGAGCATCATGCTTCCATGCTTAAGGGTGGCATCAGTGCAACTGATCACATGCCCCCAACCAGCCAAGCATGAGCATCATGCTTCCATGCTTAAGGGTGGCATCAGTGCAATTGATCATGTGCCCCCAACCAGCCAAGCATGAGCATCATGCTTCCATGCTTAAGGGTGGCATCAGTGCAACTCATCATGTGCCCCCAACTAACCAAGCATGAGCATCATGCTTCCATGCTTAAGGGTGGCATCAGTGCAACTCATCATGTGCCCCCAACCAGCCAAGCATGAGCATCATGCTTCCATGCTTAAGGGTGGCATCAGTGCAACTGATCACGTGCCCCCAACCAACCAAGCATGAGCATCATGCTTCCATGCTTAAGGGTGGCATCAGTGCAATTGATCATGTGCCCCCAACCAGCCAAGCATGAGCATCATGCTTCCATGCTTAAGGGTGGCATCAGTGCAACTCATCATGTGCCCCCAACTAACCAAGCATGAGCATCATGCTTCCATGCTTAAGGGTGGCATCAGTGCAACTCATCATGTGCCCCCAACCAGCCAAGCATGAGCATCATGCTTCCATGCTTAAGGGTGGCATCAGTGCCATATGGCTCATCATATGCCACCGCCAACCCCACTGCCTCTCATCGCCATTACCCCATCACCACCATCACCACCCAGCCCACCCATCCCCTCCCCACCTTACCTGCCAGCAGTAGGAGCAGCAGACAGCCCACTTCCCTTCGGAAACAGCACCCCCGGGGCTGTGCCTTGATGGGCGAGGTGTGGTAGTGGAAAATTTCTTCCAGCCCAAGACTCAAATCCCACCCCTGACGTAGCTAGAGCTGACGCGAACCAGAGTCGCCGGCCGGTCGACTCTGACGGTGCCCATTAAGCCTTAACGTCAGGTTAGTTACTTGAGCACCGAGTGCCGTGCCGCGCAGATTCCACCCACCACCGCAAGGCACATTCCTAGAGGATGCTGCCCCTGAGAGAGTGACCTGCCCACTTGCTCCCATGCTTCCCACCGCCTCCCCACTCTCCCCTTCACCCCATGCCACTTACCTCTACCTACCACAGCCATGCAGAGCGCCATGTTGCCTCAGGGTGTTGGGAAGTGGGGAGGGAGGAGGAGGGGGGGAGGGGGGGGGGGGGGGGGGGTGGGTTAGTGCGATGGCTCTGTCCCGCCCTTGCTCCCTCTCTCCCTCAGGCTGCATCGACTGTGCTGGAAAGTGGGGAGGGGGGCGGCGGGAGGGAGAAGGGGAGGGGTAG